CCCCCCCCCCCCCAATAAATAAATAAATAAATAAATGGTGGAGATGGAAAGAACAGGTTTGGGTTACTATGGTGTTACTTCCTTTCTGCTACTGATGAGCTAAGTCCCTGGGGAGATTTTTAATATCAATAAAGGTTTAAAGTCATAATAGATACTGCAGCATATACATTTTTATTCAGTTTGCTCTTCTTCTGGGGTCAGAAATGAATGGCCATGTATCACTACAGACTGTTCCCTTGAATGCAGGAACCATCTGTATAGTTTCTTGATGAAAAAATATTGAAAGCACTTGATGAAGCTTAGTGCCTAGGAACTTACAGAAATAACTCTGAGAAATGTGATAAAGTTTCAGAGAGTGTATGAAATGGTGTGGGAGGGGATCATCTTTTTTCAAAGCAGTGATTTCATGGAAACATTGGATTTCAAGGAAGAGAGGAAATGTTATTTACAGATGGGGGTGCCAGATTGTTCCAAAGGAAGGCAGAACAGCTACAAACCACAGAAAGTGAGAATGCAATTCATACTGCTTCTGCTGACATGGATCAGGGCAGAAGACAGTCCCCAATATCCCACCTGACCATCTTTCTTTTAACTGTGGCTCTCAAAGCAGCAGTCCTTCAGCATGGTCTAAGAGAGGAAAGGTTGCATATAACTAGATTAGTTTAAAACTAGGTGAACAGACATAATCTGAACCTTAACAGCAGCAAGCCACAGAAGCACATAAACTGCACCCAACATTTAGATACAGGTAACAGGAACCTGGGCCTTCTTAGGGTGCTTTCAGTGTGTTTCAGGAGCCACGTGAGTATGGGGTAGGCTGATCACCAGGGATCCGGGTTTTCCGTTTCCCACGGAAAAACGGAGAAAACCCCAGATTTCCCATTTTAATTGGAGAAAATGCAGATTTTCCCTTTTAGCAGGGAAACTCATGGATTTCCCCCTTTTGGAAAGAATTCTGCAGGCTGGCTGAGTTCCAGCCTGCAAGGGGTGTTTGCAAAAGGGGCAGAAAAGCCCCAGTCCTGCCTGGAGGGGGAGGAAGAGGGAGAAAGGGCAGGACCTTATGCAATCACTTACTGAAGGCTGCTGCAGGAAGAGAATCAGTTTTCTTTGTTCCTGGAGGTAAGTGGGGCTTGGGGGTTGTGGGGCAGGGTGGTTGGGGAAGCTGGCTGGGGGCTGAGGTAGCCAGGGGAAAGACATGGAGTGCCTGCTAGCAGGCAAGCACTCCTGGTGGGGCTTTCCCCAACACTTTCCCCTCCCTCAGCCCAGGCAGGCAGGGAGATGGGGGGGAACAGGGCGGAGGGGCAAGGGGCACTGCTGGCCCCCCACCTCAGCTCACTCTGTGCCCACTCCCAGGAACAGGGCCGGGGAAATGAGGGCAGCAGAGCCCCTTTGCAGGCTATATGTGTGCTGGCCAGCCGGGGGGAAGGGGGAGCTTGCACGTAGCTTGCCTGCGACTGGCAGTGGGAAAGCTGCATGGGATGTGGGGTACGGTGGTGGCTGCTGTGTGCAAGCCTGAACCCCCACCCCCAGCCAAGCAGGCATGTGAGGCCTGCAGAGGGGCACTGCTGCCTTCACCTGTGCTCTGGGCAAGCGGCACAGGGCACAGCGGTGGTGGTGCAGTGGTGCTGGTGGCCACCTCCACGTGAGCAAAGGTGCGGTGTGGGGGCAGCTGCAGACGATGGTGCAGTGGCGGCCGTCAGCAGTGGTATGGTGGCCACTGTGTGCCAGCGTCACTGCATTGCCGCCACCGTGCCACTTGCCCGGAGCAGGGCCAGGGGGGTGAGGGCAGCAGTGTCCCTGTGCGAGCTGCACATGCCTGCCCAGCCAAGAGGGAGCAGAGGCTGCCACTGCACCCCATGTTCCTTGCACCCCACCTCACATCGCAGGCCAGTGGCGCAAGGTGCAGCAGTGGCAGTGTAGTGGTGGCAGTGGCTGCTGCATGCAAGTTCCCCCTCCCCCTCCACCCCTGGCTGGGCAGCAGTGTGTGGCCTGCAGAAGGGCACTGCTGCCCTCGCCCCCCTGGCCCTGCTCCTGGGAGTGGCCACAGAGTGAGCTGAGGTGGGGGGCTGGCAGTGCCCCTCCACCACTGTGCCCCGGGGGTGCATTTTCTTCCCCCCCTCTCCCCGCCTGCCCACCTGTGTGCCTGGGCTGAGGGGCAAGTGTTGGGGAAACCCCACCAAGAATGGTGCTGGCTGGCAGGCACTCCATGTCTTCCCCCAACACATCCTTGCTTCCTCAGACCACAGCCAGCTTCCCCTGCTCCCTGGCTGGGTGGCGCATGTATGGCCCACAGAGGGGCACCCGTGCTCTTGCCCCCTCCCCCCCCGAGCAGGCACAGAGATGCACTCCCCCCATTCTCAGTCTGCGCTCCCAACCCCTTAGTTTCCCCCCATCTCCCCACACACACCTAGCTTTTGGGGGGGTGTATGTCTGTGTGTTTATCTGTGTGCCTGTCCCTGCATGTGTGGGGCTGGAGTGCTGTTGTGGGGGTAGTAAGGGGCATGAGTAGGACTGGGGAGACTGCCGGGGGGCGTGAGGGGCACTAGCAGGGCCGGGGGGGGGGGGGGGCCCCGAGCCGGGCGGGGGGGGGGGTGGAATCGCACAGATTTTGGATTTTTTTATCAAAGAATTTGTGATTTTTTTTTTTAAATCAGGAAAAACCAGGATCCTGGCTGATCATGTGTTTAGGGACCAAAGTCAGTGGGAGATAAGGCTGCAAGTTAGGCAATATTGCACTTTTATTTTGAACAGTTTGACAAAATGTCCTTGCAAGTTTGAAGTCCCTGTGGTAAATTGTCAGCCCAGGACCCATCACCTAACTGTCTCTTTCCCATTAATTTAGTATGAATACAAGTCATGCTGTTTACTCTACAGCTATGCCATTTGCCCTGCAGAATTCTAGACATGACAGTCATAGCACACAATGGATTTATGACGATGCCCTTAATATCTCTTTTTACCCTCCACAGAATGAATAATGGTCCCATAATAGGGTATGAAGACGATGTTGGGAGGAAGACAGATTTCCGACTTTTTTATCCAGAATCGGTTTTTTCAGACCCAATTCACTATGATCCTAATACTACTGTTGTTCTTGTCGTTTTCAAACCACATGATTTAAAGTGGCTCTGGAGCTTACTGGGCGGTCAGAAAGTAGTAAGTTTTATTTATTTATTGTGTTTTGTCAAATTGTCCTGACTGCCTGTCATAGCTGAGCATGTGTACCATGCTTTTCCTAATCATCTCAGATATAACATGCTGTAACAAATCGAAGGAGTGGAACAGATATTTTTAGGAAATAGAACTGATGGTCTACAGGAGCTTCCTGCTGGTGTGAGCACAGTGTTTGCTGCATTTCTGCAGTATAGTTGGAGAGCAACCCACACCTGAAGAAAAACTTCAGAAAATATTATAATTCAGACCCTTAGCTGGTATTAATCAGCATAACTGAAGTCAACAGGACATCAGAAATTTCCATGGGGCAAAATGTATGACTTGGGATGATTCTAGCTGTCACATATATTTTTAGAATACTCTTGTCATGCACTCCAGTTCCTTCCTGCACAATTGTACATCGCTTGTAATCTATACATGTGGTCTTGGATTTCCTTAAGTGTTCATCACCATCTGTTTTCTGCTCCCCCTGTAAAATGTAATAAATGAGAATTCTTTTGATTCATACTTTATATCAAGGAATAAGTACACTACAGATTGAGAGAGAGATTTTTTTAATAGGGTATATGATAATTGCTTTAAAGGGAGTTGTGGTGTCATAGATGGAGGGCAGTGTAATTCTGTAATTACTGGATTATACAAGAAGATGGACTACATGGTCACAATGGTTCCACTGGTTTCATTTATTTAAAAAAAAAATCTTAATTTAACTCTGTGGACTTTTTAGCATGATTCCTGACTTATACCAAAGTAAGCGGTATCTGTATTTGAATGCTTAGTCGAGGATAAGCATATCCCTCCCAGTAGTCTGTGGGAGCAAACAGCAGGGCCTAGATTTGCATAGTCTGTGAATTTAGGTCATTTTGATTAAATGTAAATCAGAGCTGGATGGCTGGAGAAGGGAATGTTTACCTTCTATTACTTCCCCCAGCTGGGAAAAGCAGCAGCTCTCCTAGTTAATCAGGTTACGGTTCTTACTGACCCCACTGTAAACTCAGATCAGTGTTGTTTTCTTTTCCCACAGCTAATCAGTCCTTGACCTAAAACAAATGGTTGAACTAAACCAGTTTAGTTTTTGATCTTGGTTTCCAGGAAGCATTTCTCTCTCTCTCATCATTTCATCTCCTGTCACCTCCACTTCAGCTTTTCATACAATACTCCCACTGAATCACTGTGCCCCCAGCTTTCATTTCCTAGTTAGCATTAGGAAGGCTATGAAAGCAAAATTAACTAAATATGTATTTGACTATTGCAGAATGCTAAAAGTTTTTGGAAAGAACCAGCCTTGAACATGATATATAAGACTAACCAAATCAGGATACTTGATCCTAGTATTATCAGAAAAACTGCACATGAATGGCTTCATTTCCCTACAAGATATTTCAAAAAGGAAGTAAGTATTTTTGTTGTTAACATTTTATTCATTTGCAGACTATAGGAAATGGTTACCATCATCTTTTTATTGTATTTAACTATATTGAAGCACTTAGATTTGCATTATATATCTTTTTTTTTTTAAATAGGAATCTTGGTTTGGTGTGTTGAAAATTTCTGTAGGTGAGACTAAATCTCTTAACTCTCGAGTGCTTCTTTATGATATTTTAATGTAGGTACTGTCCATACTTTGTACTATGTGGTCTTGTCTTTACTAGAGAAAAACAGATAATTTAATATGTTTAGCTAAGGCATCTTAATTAGCACATACTAAAATTCTAGTGTAGACAAGGTAAATTGTACTTTTAACATGTGTTAACTGGTGAGCCCAACAGCATTAGCTAACATGATGAAAAGACATTTAATCATAGAGTGAAGATGCTCCATTTGTGCACATGTATTCATTGAGTATGTATCTACGGAGACAAAAGTGTTTGAGTACAGAAGGGTTATAAAAATGTTCTGGTAATAACTATGAGGTGACTTCATTAGCCACTGGAACAAGATAATATTCTACCCTAGATAAATTATGGTTTTAAGATCTCATGACTAGATAGGAAGCATTATACTTCATCTCATGACTGAACACAAAACATTATCATATGACTAGAGAAAAAGTATTATGCCATTGCCTTTACCCTAGCTTCTCAGTGGGACATAGGATACCCTTCAGCTCCAAAAGGTTCCTTGATACTATATCACACCTTCCAGGCATGATAGGGAAGAGCTACCTAGAGAATTATGCAGAATTTGCAAAAAACTCTGTTTGTTTTCCCTTTTTCCTGGTAAGATCCATGGCTCTAAAGCTTTTTGGGCAGAAGAAATATGAAAAATGGGGGAGGGGAGGGTGTATTGCTTAAAAATTTTCTAAAATACATGTTGTCTGCAATGCAGACTGAACACATCATAGCCAGTGGCATTAGAAAGATTTCATCTCTTGTACATCGGACTGAGCAACGCAGAGCATTGCTAAACCAGGCCAAAATTTGGATGCATGATTTAAGCACAATGTAAAGTGAGTACAGGTTTCCTTCACCAACCATGGTTTTCCCAACCACAGTTTTGAGTATCCATGCTTAATATTCTATATACCATTTTGGCTACTACGGTATATAGTTTTGAGTAACCATGGTTTTCCATGGCCGGGCATCAGCCCTCCACTTGCCATTTTTTCCCATAAGCCTTTTGTCTTGCCAACCATGGTTTTGCCAATGACGGGAACTTTCAGGAACCTAACCCCAGTGGTTGGCAAAGGAAACCTGTACTGTATTTTGTCACATACTGCAAGCCCTTAAATAAGACACACACCTTTGTTTTGGGAAAGCAGAGTGAAGAAAAAAATATTTTTCTGGATTCACGACTGAATTCTGACTGCAGAGGATCCTGACTACAGGGCTGAATCCTGACCTGTGCTGCTCAGGCAAAAATTAAAGTGATAACCTTCTCACAGTCACTAGTGAATTGCCAGCAGTGGTTAGCTCAGTGATGAGCAATTATTTTGGCTGGAGGGCCACTTAACGAGTTTTGGTGAGCTGTCATGGGCTACACACACAAAATATTTCAGAAGGTATAATTTTACCAAATTATAGATAAAAAAAAACAAATCAAATACTAAAAATCAAATATCTACTATATAACATATTTAAATGTAATATCACAAAACTATTTTTTGTCCTGATTTATATATTTTTTGAGTAGTGTATATAGAGGGGATTCCATGACAGTTTAAAATAAGGTCTACTTTTGTATAATGTGTGTGGGGGGAGCTGTAGGAGAGTAGGGGGGTGTTGGTGTAGGTGTGGGGGTTGGGGCAGAGTGGTTATGCACATGTTTGTGGGGCTGGCTGGGGGGTGGGAGTGGAGGACAGGGCATGCAAGTAGCAGAGCACTCCAGGGCAAGTGTAGGTACAGGTATGGTCTGTGCCCCCCCCGCCCCCCATCCAGCCCATGATGGTCCCCACAGCACTCCACATGGGACTGAGCCCTGCCCATACTCACCAATGGCTGCAGCCCCAGCCAGCATGGACAGCTTTCTGGTGGGGCTGTTCCCAGTGCAGCTGCAGCTGGCTGGACACTGCTTTACTCCCCCCTGCCTCCAGTGACTCCTACTCCACCTGCCCCTGCTGGTTCACTCTGACAGCAGGCAGTATGGGGAAGCCATGGAGATGCATGTTGGGCAGCATATGCCCAGCCAAACGGGGGAGCTGAAGCCAGGTGGCTCCTGCCTCAGTGCAGAGGGCTCCAGCTCCCAGTGGCCATCCACCCACTTGACTGCCCACAGGTAACTGCTCATAGTGCCAGGTGGGTGGGGTGGGTGGAAGGCAGCCTGGAACTGGAGCCCCATGCACTTGGGCAAGAGCCCCTTGGCTGCACCTTCCCTCCCCCCCAACTTGGCTGGGCATCTGCTGCTGGGCACACATCCCCATGGCTTCCCTGCATTACCTGCTGCCCAATGTGGTGCTCCAGAACAGGAGGAAGGGGATGAGCTGCTGGAGGCAGAGGGAACTGAGCAGTACCTGGGCAACTGCAGTTGCACCAGAGCCAGCCCCACCAGGAAGCTGTGCATGCTGGCTGGGGCTGGATCTTCCAGCAGGTGCAGACATGAGCATGGTGCAGGCTGCCCCTGCCAGGTGGGAGTGGACAGGGCTTGGCCCTATGTGGAGCACTGCAGGGGCAGCCATGAGCCAGATCCAGTCAGTTGGCAGGTGCCCACCTACAGGCCAGATTCAATCAGTTGGCAGGCCAGATCTGGCCCACAGGCTGTATTTTGTTCACCCCTGGGTTAGCTGCTTAGCCAAAAGCTATTGCCAATTCTGCAGCAGCTGTGAAAGAGTTAACACATAGCTGTGACCCTGAAGGATGAACTTTGCTCCTTCCCTATGAGGCTGTCAGGGGGAAAGGAATTTTATAACATGTCCATGCCTCTGTCCCAGCACAGAAAATCAGCTTCCACACTTGAGACACTCGCTTCAGTTTTGGAGAGCTGATTTATTGGGGAAAGGTACCATGTGGTATGCAATAAAATATGGTCATTTTAAATTTGGGGTGCTGTCCTGCCACAAGGAAATTTTTCAAATTCCACTTTTCCAGTAGCCATTTGACATTCTAGTGAAAATGGCAATGTCTAGTGGCCTTATTTGCAAATGGATACACAGAGTGTTTTATGTGGACCAGGCTGCTATTTATATATAAATTGTTAGTTTCCTACTAAAGAACACCCTGAGGGAAATGTAGATTTTAACATGTAGATCTTTTCTGTATAGCCAAAATACTACATAGGCAGCCCAGGCAAATGTAATGCCAGGTGCAGAAAATTAGGCTATTTACCAGATCACAGCTGTTACACAGGAGTGCTTTATCTTGAAAGTGCAGCTGCCACTCCTTGGATATTATTCACAGATATTCTTTATAAATCAGCTACCACATTTGTCTAATTTGACCTTCTTAATTGCCCTTACAAAGCAGGTTTGACTTTCACGAAAAAAAAATGTATCTGCTCCTCTGCATTTTCTCCCATGTCAAATCATAGTTTGGGCATGGTACTTCAACTGGCTGCTTTGGAAAAGCCTGCAGTGTGTGACAAAAGAGTTATAAGATGTCAAGTGGGAGAAAAAGGGGCAGGTAGAGATGAGAGCCCAAAGATCCTTGAACCGCGCACAAAAAGTCCGTGGGCTTCTATGAACAGGCAAGAATTCTCAAGCCACCACTCTCTTGGAACGTGTCCATTCTCTGCCCTGTCCCCTCGCTCGCTCACCATGCCTTGTTCCAATTCTCTGGGGGAGGTTTGGCTCTCAGGGAGAAGGTCTGTTTTGCTGGACTGCCTATTTTTTTTTTTACAGAACTTCACTTTCCCTACACCGTGCCCCTTTCCTCTCAAGTCTGTGGTGTATGACTCACACCAGTCACATGTTCATGTTTCCACTTTAAGCCCGTCTTGGTCTCCTTTGGATTTCTCAATTCATCATTCGACCTCACTCATTCCTTGTTCCACTAAACAAATATCTATGAATTAAGTCACTCCTTATCTCTCAATTGATCATTCAGATTCCTCCAGAATATCCACCAATCAATTAACTTCTTATTGCTTAATCAGTCATATAAATTCATTCAGAATGTCCGTAAATTAATTCACTTATTTCTCAACATAAACATCTACAAATTCATCTGCTTCTCATTTCTTGATTAATACCCATAAATTCATTCATTCCTTCTTTCCCAAATCAATCCCCTGATGAGCTCATTCCCTTCTCATGCAGTAACATACTTTCACCCTGCATTTACAATCACAGTGCAGTCATCAGGTGCCTCGAGATGTGGCACTCATCTCCTCCCATCCATGGTACTGTTGGCCCTGCCCTTACTATCCCGGCAGCCCTCTTCATGTACCTTTCTCTTCTGCCTCCATTCAGATCCTCCTTGAGTCCCAGTCTCAATTCTCACACCCTGGCTTGGGCATCTGGGCCCTGCACCTCCACGTAGACTGTACAGCTTCCTGGCTCTCCTGTATTTTCCCCTCTCTGTCAGAAGGCTGATTGTAACAGGGTAACTGTTGGGGCCAAATACCATGCTGGCCTACCTCCCTGTCTGGGCAGTCTGCCCACCTACACACTCCTGCTGCACCTTGATGTAAATAATAAGTTGTTTATTTTTAAAGCAGGAGGCTGCCCATTTTAAAGCCCAATGCCAAGGGTATATTACACAGCTTCAAACCTCCCTTACAGTGTGTCCTTTGCCTCACAGAGGGCACCCAGATTTTCCACTACTTCCCCGGGCGCCTTTCTGTGCTGCTGTGGCCTCTGGTCCAAGCAGGCCTTCGGCATCTTTGGACATGCCTGGGCCTTTAACTCCTGCCCCTCACTGGGGCTTCTATTCCAGCTACACTAGTCAGCACCTGTGCAGCCCTTTGGACTGTCTTAGGCCCTACTGGACACAGCAGCAGGGTCCCTACAACTCTAACCCATCATTAGGGCCTCTGGGCATCAGGCATCTGATGACTTACCTGGGCCCCCCTAACTCAGCCTTCAGCTATTCAGGCCTCAGGCATCTGTAAGCATACCTGGACCCTTCTGGGCATTAAGCCCCTTTGGGCCTTGGGCATCTGTCGACTTACCTGGACCCTGCCTCAGGCCCCTTGCAATGCTTTTCTGTTCAGAGGTGTTTTCCCCTTCACAGGGTAAACCACAAGGCAGTGGGGGCTGAGGCTTTTTGGCGCCCCATACTCGCCCTTCACTGAGGAAGCACAGGTGTGGCATTTCCTGGAAGTTTCCCTGCCAGAAGCAGCCCCACCACACCATCCAACCCCAGCAGGGTGTAGTTTTAGGTCATTCCCCAGGACCAGGACCTTTGTGCTCTTTGCATAGTTCCTACCCTGTCCTCTGGGTGTTCCTCACCAGCAGTGCCAAACAGGCGGTGTTCTGCCTCCAGCTGTTTGCAGCAACTGCTGCGGGCTTTACTGCTCAAGCCTGCTTTTATTTCTAGCAACTGAGCCCTCTTCCCCAATCAGGTAGTCTCTTGCTGGCCATGCGACTCCTGATTGGGGAGTGTGGCCACCTGCCGGCTGCCTTTTCTGCCTGCTCAGGCCCTTTGAATGGCGGGCAAAGGTTCCCTCCCACACTGATATCTGGCCATCTTACAGCTCTCCCTTCTGCTACTTGTCAGTGTTCTGAGCCAGTGAGGGCGAGCTCCCCCTGGCACATGACCACGTGCTCCTGGAAGTATGTCTTCTCCCTGGGGTTTGTTTCCAGACCTGTTTTCCGGGTGCACCAGTGGCCTTGTGACTCCCTTGAGCTCAAGTAAGTTTCCTCCCAATTTGGCCAGCTTCTACTGTCCGTAGCTGGGGCTTCCAGTCAGCCCCTGTTACAGCCTTATACTCTCCATGATAGGAAATCCCCTCCCCTACCGTACCCTTCCCTCCCGACAAGGCTCAGGGAAAGAAGCAATAGCTGAAGCACTGGTAAAGACGTGCTCCAATTAAACAAATGTGGGTGATATCTTGGAGGTGATATGGAGACCCATATCTTCTGCACAAAAGGCCCATGTCTTCCATGGATCCCAAAAGGTTCCATTGGGTCTGAACACAGACTTGATTTCTAAGAGAGTAAACATATGTACCCTTCATCTCTGACAAAATGGTCCAAGGACAACTCTTTGGTGACTTCCCCTGGAGTGTTCTGTCCCACAGGCAGGCCTTCTTCCCTTGGTACCTCCACAACAGGGAGTGATCTGGGCTCTAACTGTCCGGTTTTTTAGTCCCTTTTTTGTTGGTGTTCATGTTGAATGAGCTTTGAATTTTCCATTAAGCCATCATTGCATTCCCTCTTTTTCTTTTTGGACGTTCCAACAAGTTTGTTTATCAGTGTCACCCCTCAGTGTTAGCTCAGTTCTGGGAACATCATTTTTGAAACCATGTGTATTCTCTCTGCATGACTGCCTTGTCAGCAGTAAAGCAGAATTATTACAGGTCACCCAGAGGCTACATATCTTTTCCCATTAAATGTTTCGATCTCCGTGGACTTCGTTAACAAAGTCTAGAATCTCTCAAGAATTTCCTGAGCGTTGTTACGGTGGAGGTCAGATTCTAAGCCTTGCCATTTAACTGACAAAATTTGTAGCTAGGTGAAGTCCACAGGAAAGTTTTACTTATGGAAGGATTGCTCTTTGTACAGCTGAGTCATACCAGTTCTTCATTTCCCTCATGTATATCTGGGCAGTGAGAGCATTTTACATGCATGACAGTATATGATTTATGCTTTAACAATATGCTGATCTTAGTTGGATTTCCTGCCCATAAAAGTCAAAAGCAAAGAGCACCAAACATAACTCAGTGAAATTCTATGGAATATTTGCCAGACACCTTTTGGGTCACCTCAGTCCTGATTTGCAGCATTCCTGTCATATCTATCTGGGTCCTCCTCAGAACATTGTGACAGTTGTGTCACATGGTGCAGGCAACATGAGAGGTAGATAGCAAGCAGGGGTTAGGATCACACCACTGAACTCCTCATGCCCTAGATATTCAAAGGCAGAACGCTATCTTGGTAATCTGTGGGGCCTCTCAGCCAAATACTCTGTATGTGTTTGGTTAATGTTATTTACAAGGTACACTGTGATTCTTATAAAGATGTAAAAATCCCCAAAGGTGATTAAATAATTGTGATATCCTCTCAAAGAAATTACCATTAGTTCTGATCTTATAAAGCAGAAAAAGTGGGGCTGGGGGGAGGGGGGTGTTGGTCAATTCTTACCCTCAACCAAATGCTCAAGGAATCAAAATATGCCACTGTGATGTGCTACATGATGGTGTAACCATTCGGTTCACTGAATCCAACTTGTTCTAGAGCCATTGAACCAGGAGAGGAGAAAAAGCAGTTACATTATCCAGTCTATCTCCCTTCCTGTGAAGAATTGTTTGCTACCGTGTGGACCAATTTTGTTCCCAAAGGCCTGGGAGATGAGTGTTCTGGCTGTGCTGCACCAAAACAGTTATGCCGTAGCTTAACTTTGACTGAACTGCTTTAGTGTTTGCATGCTTTGAGATGGATATGAACTAGCCATGTAGTAGTTGATAGGACATATAGTAATAGGACAGCTTTGGTAATACACTTAATTTAAAACTTCATTTCTGGTAGCAGTGCAGTTAATCACTAGATACTCTTTGCATGAAGTGATATCTTGTAAGATAAGTGGATATTTATTGCTGGGTTTTTTGATGTAAGAAATAAAACATTTCCCCTCTAACCTCTTCTTCAGATGAAGTAATTTTTTTCTTTCTGAAATTCTTCTACTCCAAAAAAGCTCCAAGCTACTTCCAGTAGTTTTGCCAGCTGTTGGTACTGCAGAGTCATTAGTGGTAATTGTTATTATTAAGACCCTCATTTTCAGGTTTTCATTGTCTGTCAAGATGAGAATTATAATTTGTGTGTCCTCTTTTTCTTTTTTTAGAAACCCAAGCATCCTACAACGGGACTAATTGCCATTTCTTTGGCATTTCACATTTGCCATGAAGTTCACCTGGCAGGATTTAAGTATGACTTCACTGATAGAAACAGTTCTTTGCACTATTATGGCAATGAGACTATGTCTCTAATGATTGAGGTAATGTACTGTTCTTTTTTTTTTTTTTTTTTTTTTT